GCTCAAAATGAAACAGCTAGGGTTACGCAGGGTTTGGTCATGTTTCCACTTACCAGGGTTCCATTTTGAGACATGTTTTTGACCCACAGCCACCTTGGCTTATGAAGTGGCAGGTGGGGAGAGCGGGGCCACGGCTCATGAACTGGGAGTTGAGCCACACATGAACTTCTCGGCGTTTTTGGTGCTTTCCTTGCCGGCAATGGCCAGCTCATTGGCCGCCAGCATGCCCAGGCCGCCCAGGCCTCGATCCGGGCGCGGATCTTTTTACACGACGGACGAAATCCATGTCGCACTTGGAAACCGTGGTTGAAACCACTGCTTATTGGTATTTACAGGGGATTCATCGGTATTTACAGGGGATTCATCAGACATTCGATTTTCTTAGGTGGTGCAGGAATTCGTCCATCCACACCTATGGCTGTGGTTGTCAAAACCGTGTGGGGGATCCCATTTTGGGGGTCTTCGGTGCACCACCCATTTTAGAACCTATTTTAGTGGAGATTGGGATGTTCACTGGGGGTACGGGATTTTGACCCATGCCCATATGGAACCTTAGGGGGTTCTTTGAAGTGCGCTTGAAGCCGGGGCTTCCACAAGATTCCACGATAACACAGCTGGCGTCGGCTTCCGCGCATTCCATGTGTGGGAGCTCTCTTGGGTTAAGGGCAAACCCAACCGGCTGAGGCAATATGGGCATGGGTCAAAATCCCGTACCCCCAGTAAACATCCCAATCCCCATTAAAATACTACCCCAAAGTGGTACCATTGGTTTTGACCCACAGCCATATGTGTCCAAACAACTTGTTTCCGCTGCATGTGTGGCTCAACTCCTGAAACCTGTCGCCAATTTGCTCTCCCAGTTCATGAGCCGTGTCTGGCCCCACTCTCCCCGCCTGCCCATTCACAAGCAAATTTGGCTGTGGGTCAAAAACATGTACCAAAATGGCACCTTCGGAAATGGATCCAAAGACCCTAGCTCTTTAATTTTGAGCCACACCCATTTGTTGATTCTGATATCTGCGTAACATCCCAAAAGGAAATCAGGGAAAAGGGGCCACTGGAAAAGTGAGAACGCATCTTCTGCATGGAATTTGCTCCAGGAAAAAATGCCGGTGTTTGTCGCTTGGAAGGAAGATCGTGCTTGAGGGTAGCAAAGAAAGAGGGATTTAGTGTAGTTGGTGTTCAGGTGGAAGCTGCGGTTGCACATCCACGGCGTTCAACCTGAATGGACAGAAGGAATTCCTGCTCTTCGCAAAACACAGAACAGACTCCCGGAGAAAAAGAAAAAAACTAAGAATGACCTGTCGAAAGCAGACAACTCAAATCTGAAAATAAAAAAACGGCCTTGCTTCGGCCTTTGAAACGGAGCCAACAACGCTCTTCCGGCCCGCCGAACCGGGGCGTCCGGCCGCCCGTAATCAACGCCATGGCCGACCTTAGACCGTGCGGTCGCCAATGGGACCCCTCAATCTCTCCAAATGCAAAGGGCAGTTTCAAGCGAATGCTTCAAAAATCAGGGGACTCCCCGAAATCATTCGCTTCCTTTTGGGTTTCGTGAAAGACCATGACCGGTGACCTGAAAAAAGCATACAAAGGCCTGGGTGAATCTTTGTTCAGCCAAGCTGAAGTGAGGGATTTCCAGAGTTCGGCACCTTTGATTCCTGGGTTGAGGTCGTAAACGAAGCGTTTTAGAGGAGGCCACGTTGTATATACAGACACCATCTTCACGCAGAGATGTCCGCGACATGCTTTCGGCCATCGGCCCCCAGCCCAGAGGCTTTAGCTTAGATGCTGCTTAACTGGGAAATCTTTGCTGGGCACGACACATCTGGGAAAATGGTGTTTATCATGCCATCATGTTTGGTCCGCCAGACAAAATATGCGTGACTTTAATCACTCATTGCTCCACCGTCTTTTTTTGAGGGCATCCTCATTAAAGTCATATCCATGCGACAATTTTACGGGGGTGTGAGCCTGGAGCGACATAGCAACCCTTGGCGTCACAGGGTTCTCCTGTGGGAACAATCAGTGGAAACTTCCTTTGTCTTAAAATGTAGGAACCCACATGTTGTCCATCTTTTTTCCCTTGAACACCCACCAAGGGGCTGAGATTCACAAACACCCACCCAGGCAATGTTTGAAGTCACCAAGATCCTAAGGTCAAACTCGGATACTCACAGATGAGTTTGATTCACCAACCAGAAATTCGGGCGTCGGCGCCTTCCTGGCGCTCTGCCTGCCGCTCTGCCGAGCTGCATGTGGTGGCTGCCACAGGCAACCCTTTGACCCTAGATGGGTTCTAACAAATGGGTTCCCGGAGCTAGACAAGATACACAGGATTGAAAACCTATGTAGGATGCAAGCTGGAACCAGTACCCAGCCCGTGTACGGAACAGGGGGTTGCCCAACTCCAAGCGCGAGACTCTTTCAGGAGCCTCAAGCCAAACAAAGCATGCGGCACAAGAACAGAGACTAACCTCAAAGCAAACCAACCAAAACG